GTGAGGAAGAAATCTCTTCAACCGCTACAACGTATTAAATTGTAGTTCAAGGAAAGGGTTTCAGCCATGTATCGATTTTTCGATTGACACGATTTTTCGCAATCACTTGGCTGAAAATCATTGCTTGAAAGGTTCACTCCTCTAATCGATTTAGTGATTGGAGAGATTTACTCGGGAACTTTTGCATCTTCAAACAACCTTTCCCTCAAGCTCATGCAGAAATCTATTGAAGCCAATGCGAGCAGTGGGAGCCCTGGTGGCAAGACGAACAATTCACATGGCTTACAACTCGCTCTCAATGGAAAAGTTGTTTGAAGGATGCGATCGAGAGAAAAAAACGGGCAAATAAAAGAACTAAAAGTATCATAACCTATTCTTCACGTCACAACATTATCCTAGTTTAATGTCTTTGCGGACGAAAAAGGCACAGACGTCAAATTTTTGCGTAAATAAATATTTTTCAAAAATTCAAATCCTTTGGAATTTGTTAAATGACACATCACTGGATGCAGTTTTTTACGCTGATTCCAAATATGTCCTTATTTTTTAGCCCAGTCCCTTAGACGATAGAAAATAGTATGAAAAACCAGGATTTTTGGAAAATCCATAACTGTGCAAATAAAGCGAACGGCAACTTTCTACTAATTTTTTAGATGCACCACCTATGGATGAATAGTCTCTGGAAGTTTCATTAAGTTTACTCATTAGCAATAGCTAGCGCGCTTACTTTACTGAGCCCAAGTTTTGGAAAAACATCCAGCACAACAAAAATCTAATTTTTATCAGTCAGAAAAGTCATAAATTAAAAAAATTTTTATGAATGGATAGCCCAAAACTTTAGGTTTTAGACTATATGTGTCTCAATGCGCAACACTTTTGCGTTCTAAAACAAAAAAGGTGTTTTCCGGACAGCATCGTAAAAACGGGTCCAAAATTGAGACTAACTTTTCTCCTCCATCTTAAGCATTTGGATCAAATTTTTTTTACCATTAAATCGGCCATTGAATAGTGTATATATGACAGTGCTTGAATCTCGAAAAAACTCATTTTCCTTTTTTCGCCTAATGTCCACCTGAATGTCCACTGTGTCCTGTTTTCCTCCTGAATTCGAAAAAAATCTCCTGATCAACTGCTGATTTTTTACGAAAAACTCTATTATTTCGAAAAACTGGATTTGAGCACCCTGTAACAGATATTTACTTCAACATTTTTTGACAGTAAGACACTTTTTCGACCTATAATGCGTGTTGCAAAAGTGTTTGATTCTATGCCTTAATTAACAATGAGTTAGGCTTAGAAAGGTCGTATTTTGAAATGTAAATCAGTTTTTTCAGAAAAACTATTTTTATTGTACATTTTAAAGAGCTTCTATCTTCAGTATTTCAGGATTCTCAACACAGTGATGATAATTAGTTGACTAATCTCTTTTTCTCTTCTAGTTTTTGATCTTTCAACGTCAGCATGATATGAAGATTGACGAATCAATCTGATCATCAAAAACAATCAAAATGGCTTCATCGATACCATACGCTTTAGGTAAGACTACATTTCTGAAATATATTTATTCTTAACTCTAATCAGAAGTTAAAACAAATGTAGTTTAGTCTTAAATTTACTTTTCATCTAAACTTTTCATCTAAACTGTTTTTCATCTTATACTATTTCACAAAATATTCGAATAAGATTTAAAGTTAAACTGATTTACGAATAATTCTTGAAAAATGATGACAATTGCAGAGAGGCCTTAATTTTGTATTAAGCTTCCTAGCAACTCTATATGCACGGAGAAGGATGACTTGTTATGCTTAAGTTCTTATAGTTATGACTAAATCAACGATATTTATGAAATACCCACATGCTTTTTTACATTTTCGATTGGATATGGCATTTGTCCCAAGATACTTTTGAATTGTAAATTTGTGCGGGCTTGCGTAGAAATGGATAGGAGTTGAAAAGAAGAAATTTTGTTCGATTAGAGAATCAATATAATCTTGTTTTATTTAGATTTGTGCAAAGATTTTTTTCGTACTCATTATAAAGATGATATATTGAATTTAATGAAAACAATTGATAGCACAACAAAAGTGAAAAGTTTACCACTCAAGTAGGTAGAAATATCAGCCGATCGTCTGACTAGCAACGTCTGTAGGCCTTCCAAAACTTCTTTTACCTTCGGCAGCGGCGCTAAGATTTTTCTGATAAATCAATGGAAATTTTTTGAGAACAAAGCAGCGTTATTTTTCTTCAAGAAAATTTTTCAATCGGCGGCGGTGATGTCTCGAAGCACCTGGAAAGTTTTCTGTCTTCGACGGTGGCAGCCTTTAAAATTGAACGGAGGCTTGTCGGCTAACACCTACCTCTATAAGTAGGTACTGTTGAAAATTTAGATTTGCGTAATTCTGAATTTATGCTTTTGTTATATTTAGTTATCATCGATTAGTTCAATATAACATTTCACTTGCTGAACTATTATTTGGTAGAATTGCAAAATATTTTTTTGAAAAATTAAATCATGCATTGAAATTAGTCGTTTTGGAATTGGCATCACTGAATGACAAAGAACAAGAAGAACTTTCAGATGGTTATTCTACAAAGGTGGACATTTTATCTCTATATATTACAATCGAAAGAAATGTTTTAATTCTCTCTTGTGTTTTCCTTAGTACGATGGAATATTGTTTAAAGTAAAAATTTATAATCTGCCTTGGGGAAATACCGGTCTTGTACGCTATAAAATTCCAAAGTAAGAAAGCATTTTCTTAATAAATAACAATACTAAAAAAAACGAACTTTTTTACGTTTTTTTCAGTAGTCAAGATCGAGGCATGTTCATATGTTTCTGTGGAACGGTGATCCGTGTTGGTTCTGTATTTGTATTTGATGCCACTAGATCATTCCAGTAAGTCAAACACGATTAGTAATATCTTCGGAAATATGATCATGAACGACGTTACGTCAGAAACCGTTTGTACTCTACTCGCTCGACGTTAGAGCTCAATCATTCATTCACTTAACTTTTCAGTAGGAATACATACTTTCTTCATTTTAGATGTGAAGAATGTAGATCAATTGTATCGGTGGAAAAAGAAATAAGTACGCAAAATGTTGTCATTAAACCGAAGCATTGTTCAATGCCTGATTGCCAGAGTACTAAGTTTAAACAACTTAAAGATGGTGAGCGGTCTTTTCTGTTTTTCATTCACACCGATATATAGTTGAATTGAGTCACGAAATATTGGAATTTAGCTGAATCAGCGAATCGTTATGATTATCGAGAAATTAAAGTACAAGAAAGTCTACAACGAATGACAAGCAATAATCTACCACGATCATTTAGTGTTACATTGGAACATGATCTTGTGGAAAGTTGCAAACCCGGTGATGATGTTGCTGTTTAGTAAGTTTCCGTTACAAACGATATTGGAAAAGCTGCCACTAAAAAGGCTATATGTTTTGTTAAAGAGCTGAAAGAATAGAGATCCACTCTCCAGTTGACATTGTGATGAAAACTGTTCAGGTGCGTTGGCTATCAGTGTTTGTGCTTGCTTGTTTGTTTTGCTTCCCTTCGTTTTTCTTCATTTACTTTAATCTAGCTTGGTCACAAAAGTAGATACTGTAGTGTGATTGTATGACGTAATGCAAACATTAGGTATTCAATGAAAGTTTTTCTTTTCGTATTTGTAGTGGTTTCGTGCAAGATCGTTGGCAATCATCTCATCCTGGCTCACGTGGTAATAGTTCATTGTATTTGGAAGCCAATAATGTTGTTGTTCTCAACGCCCAATCAACAAATTTATCACCGCTCGCTGTATGATCTGAGTTTCCTTTCACTTTTTCTCACACAGAACACTTTTCTTTCAATTTTTGTCTTTAGTATGAGCAATTTGAAGCATACTGGGCTAATAACGTTCGTACTCCATTATCAGCACGTAATAAAATACTTGCCAGTATTTGCCCACAACTCTATGGATTATATCTTATTAAGCTGGCCATTGGATTAGTTTTAGCCGGCGGTGTAGCCGTAAGTCAGTCTTTGTTCAAGTAAAGATTGATAGTAACTGGCTTCTGTTTGATTTTTTCAGTGTTCGGATCAAGACCATGGCATTAGAGTTCGACGACATTCTCATTTATTACTTGTTGGTGATCCAGGTAGAAAAAGTTGTGTTTCTATTATCAAGAGAGGTCATCAGCTGTTAATTTTCGAGAATTTGAACATAGAATTTTTCCACTATCTGAGCTGTCTAATTTTGCATTTTCTTTAGGAACTGGTAAATCGTTATTTTTGAAATATATTGCAAAAATGATGCCACGAGCTGTTTTAACTACTGGCATCGGTTCGACCAGCGCCGGTTTGACAGCAGTTGCTGTTCGAGTAAGTAGCTGTCGATTTTATATTCGATTTCAGGCTATTTAGTTCCTGTTGGAGTCTTTTTCTTCGTGTTACTGTACGAAATAAAACTGCGTCTGTCTGATTTTTTCTTTGAATGAAATAAACTCGTGTAGTTCTGTGTATTATCGTTTCAAAATATAATGAGCTTGGTGTTGTTTTTTCGCTAAAACTTTTTAGTTTTTGTCGAGTTTATATATGATATTTTATTAAGGATGGTCCCGATTGGGTATTGGAAGCTGGTGCTTTAGTATTGGCTGATGAAGGAATATGCTGCATTGATGAATTTAATACAATGCGTGAGCATGATAAAACATGTATTTTAGAAGCAATGGAACAACAAACATTGAGCATTGCCAAAGTAAGTTGTCATTATTGTTTATCATGATGTAAAACTTTTCTGTATGGCTAGGGTGGCATGTGTATGAAATTACAAACACGATGTTCAATAGTTGCTGGCTGTAATCCAAAAGGACTCTATGATAAAAATGATCCGATAACAATTAATGTTGCATTATCTTCACCATTACTGTCACGTTTTGATTTAATATTGATGATGTTAGATGTGGAAAATAAAGATTGGGACAATGTTGCTGCAACATATATTCTAGAAGGAATCGATTTACTTGGTAATTTTACTTTTAATAATGAAATATGTATTAAATATTGTGCGAAATATTTCATTTTATTATTAGGTCATGGTTCAACATCTAACCCATGGAGTATAACAAAAATGCGCGATTATTTTATCTGTATTAAACCATTAGAACCGGAAATGAGTTCGAATGCAAGTATCATCATAACAAAGTAAGGTAGAAAGATATCATCATATTTTCACTGAAATTGGCAAAATTGTTTGTATATTAGCTACTACACGTTAGCTCGTAAAGCAGCTGAAGAAACGAACCGACGTGTGACGGTCAGACAATTAGAATCGACTGTTCGTTTGGCACAGGGTAAAATAGACAATACTAACTGTTTCATATCTTCAACGAATGTGTTTGTTACTTGACTTTAGCACATGCCAAATTGATGTTTCGAAAGACGGTCGATGTCATTGATGCAATTATTGCCGTTGTATTAATGGAAGCAAGTCTAAATGGTTGTGGACAATTATTTAATGGAGAATTAAATACATTACATACAGCATTTTCATCTCAGCCAGAATTAGAATATCAAAATCTAGGTAAGTAAGTATTAGTATCAGTCTAAATAGATTGAACTTAACGAATCGATTGTTCGAAAAATATTTTCTTACATCGTCAAAAATATCTTCTTACATACAAGTGAATTAAAAACTACATATTTTAACTTCGATCAATGATTATTAATGAAAAATTATTTTAATTTTAGTTTCATTAGTATTAAATTGGCTTGGTTTAACTGAATTACGTGATCTTGAATTGAGACGTATCGATGAAGAATATGATTTTATCGATAATTGGACAGAAGATGTTATTGATCAACAAAACAAGAGCTGTACAATTTCTAAAAAGCAATCGTCATCAACACCATCACTGATAGATACATCTCAGTTAAAAATGAACAGTACAGGTGGATTCAAAATGCCATCAAGTCATTCAACCTATATTTCATCACCATCCAATTTATTATCAACCCAAATAAACCAATTGAAACATTTTGATTTGATTCGACAAGGTGGAGGTGTTAAAAAAGATACTCTTCCATCAATGATATCATCAACAATGACCACTACAATATCTGCAGACAAATTATCTTCTACCACATCATTATCAGATAACGATAAAAATTTTATATCAACACCACATGATATCGTATCGTTGAAATTAGACTTTCCCATTAGTCCAATCGTTGAACATAATATAATGTCAAAAGTAGTTTCATCACAGTCAATCATTCCTAAAACACGAACGAATAAAAATGATCTTGTTCTACAACATTCAGTATCTCCTAGAGATGAACAAATAAATAGTCCTGAACCGAAACGTCAACGAACAACAACCATTGCACCAGCAACAAAACTAAAATTAGATTTTTTTCGAAAAGAAGAAAAAGAAGTTAAAAATGAATCGTTTCTAATACAAAAGGATGATATAAATACTGATTCAATATCGACAACATTGGTTCAATATGAACAAGAAAATATTGAAACATTATTAACAGTAGCAGCAGTGCAACCTCAATTAGACGTTAAATTAAGTACAATTGGTGATTTAAATGAAGAAGATTTTGATTTAAACTTTCTTTGATATGGTGTATTTGTTTGCTTTTTGAAAATACTGTAATTGTGTTATATTTTTGTATGTAAGTCAGATGTTTATTTAACTCAAAATTTAAATATACTGTCAACGATTTTGAACTTTTTTTTGAACTTTTTAATTTAGTAGAGAATTACGAAAAAAGCAAGTACAGACAAATAAATTAAAGAAATCTTTAGATACACTGTATTAAGACATAACCAAAAGAATGATGATAAAATGTCTTGTGCAAAGTATTAATTAGTGACTTCGATTCTTGTTTGAGATAAAGTTACACAAGATTGTATACTTATTTTTCATGAATACGTGTAATAAAAATTTTATGAATAAAACTGATGATTTTGATAGAATAAATATAAAGTTGCTGAGCGATATGATTTGTATTATTAAATAATAACAAGATCTTATTCTCGAAGTCTATATATAGTGGCGGCAAAAACTTTCAGTACACTCCTATCCTCTTTTTCTTTTGGTCATAACTCGGTAATGAAAAAAGCTTTTGACAAGCGGTTTGCGTCAAAATATTCTCCGCTCTCTCTAATATATTTGTAGATAAAAAGAGTTACAAATATTCATTTCAATTCAATTTTATTTTAGTCCATGATCTTAAAAAAATGACAGGGTAATAACAAAAGCTCAACAAAGAACTTGTCTAAGTTATCCCTAGTAAAAAATAGAATGGAAGTTATAGAATAGAAGTTTTATGAAAAAAATGTAAAAAAATGAAAAAAATGGCACAGTTAAATAGAATAGGGCTTAATATGTATTATTAACTATTATCGGCGCCTACAGTGCAGGTTGCCACCTTTTTAATAACTCAATAACAACGTAAGATAGAACGTTGCAGTTTTAAGCAGTCGAAAACAGACACCTGAGGCTAGTTTACCACAAGCAAAAACGACTTTTTAAAAGAATTCTGAAACCGGTTTTTGAGTAGACCTTTGGAAAACTAGTTTGGATCTCTGAAAAGTGACATAGAAATAGGTCGATCTTTTTTCATAGATAGATAGTCTAAAGTGTCCTCTCTAAAACCGAAACTAAGCGAACTCTTAATTTTCTGGATTCAGGCGTGGCATCGGATTACCTGAAAGTCCACGGATCACTATTTCTTTAGATGTGGTAATTCCGACAACGAATGCAAACATAGGTAATCGACCATTTGTTGTGACACATTTGTTTATTTACTACAGAGTTCAATAAAAGCTTTAAAAGTTAACAGAAAATAATTTGGTTTTTGAAAAGGTTTTCTAGAAATCTTCCGAAGTACAAGGATGTTTTTTACTATTCTTAAGTAAAAAAAACATATAGAGCAAGTGAAATAGGGTACATGTTGATATTCTGACATAATTTTTATGAATCTCGACTGGATTATGAATCTTTTAATTTTATTCAACAATTGGCAAAAATGAGTTATTCCATATAATATAGATTTTCACTAGGTTTTTGGAACTTTTTTGAAAAACAAATGTTGCCACAAGATTCAGTATGGTCGATTACCTATGTTTGCATTCGTTGTCGGAATTACCACATCTAAAGAAATAGTGATCCGTGGACTTTCAGGTAATCCGATGCCACGCCTGAATCCAGAAAATTAAGAGTTCGCTTAGTTTCGGTTTTAGAGAGGACACTTTAGACTATCTATCTATGAAAAAAGATCGACCTATTTCTATGTCACTTTTCAGAGATCCAAACTAGTTTTCCAAAGGTCTACTCAAAAACCGGTTTCAGAATTCTTTTAAAAAGTCGTTTTTGCTTGTGGTAAACTAGCCTCAGGTGTCTGTTTTCGACTGCTTAAAACTGCAACGTTCTATCTTACGTTGTTATTGAGTTATTAAAAAGGTGGCAACCTGCACTGTATTTTGGCGCCAATAATACTTTAAGAAACGAGATGTTTCTTTAATGCACATTTAAACGTTCGAACACTAAAGGTAGCAATCACTTCTCTTGGTAATTGATTCCACTCTTTTATAGTTTTTGGTAAAAAAGTAGAGCCAGTAGTTTTACGTTTTAACAATGGAACATGCCAAAGACATCGATTAGAGGTTCGTAAAAGATTACAGGTTCGTGATCACAGAGGAACTGTCGAATCTATAGTCATTTGATATCATACGGGCAGCGAGTTTATGAGTTGATATTAGTAAATCGAGATATGTTTTGAAATCATTGGCAAATACTACACAACAATAATCCATTACTTACAAAATACAGGTTTTATAAATATGCAGTCGAATAAAAGTAGGAGTAGATCCAAATAGTCGATTCATAGCGCCTAACATTTGCCTGCACCTCCTAGCTGTATTTTCAAGATGAAATTTCCATGTGAGATCTGATGAAAGATAAACTCCTAGCAATTTTATATTTTTTCTACTATTATTTGTTTCCCACTTAATCGAAGAGGTGGAAATTGCTTCGGTGGTTTTTTTATTAGAAAACGGCATATAGCAGCATTTATCGATATTTAAATCTATCTCGCTTTCTACACACCACTTCGACATAATATCTAGGAGATTCTGTACCTCGGATAAATCAGAAAATTTTTGTAACGAAACTAATCCGAAGACGTCGTCTGCAAATAAGGAAGCCGTTAGCTCAACAGGAAACTGTAAAACAAGGTCGTTAATGAATATAAAAAATAATAGAGGGCCAATCACACTGTCCTATGGCACTCCAGATATAACTAGCGTTTCCTTCTACTCTTGCTTTTTGTAGTTTTTCCAACAAAAGTCTATAAATCGGCATATCAAAAGCTTTTGCAAAGTCGAAAGCAACTCCTACTACTATTTGTCTTCCTTCTAAAATTTTACTTAACTTAATTGTTATATGTAAAAGAGCAGCTTGGCCTAGATCTAAATTGTACGTTAGTAGAAAAGCTGTTTTCATACAAGTGATTAAGTAAACATTTTTGAATAAGAAGCTCGAAAACTTTACTAATATGACATAGGAGAGAAATTGGTCGATAATTAGAGCACAGATTTCGAGCTCCCTTGTTATGAATTACTTTTACTATCGCTCTTTTCCACAATTTTGGAAAAACTCCTTGCTTTAATAATAAAGTAAACAAGTGATGTAATTGTGATGAAATAACTTCAGAGCATAGTTTTAAAAACTCTACATCAACACCATCGATTCTTACAGATTTCTTGTTTTTAAGCTCCTTAATCCTATTATTTACATCCACTACAGTAAATAAAATTCTATTTAAAAAACGTTGGTTAGTATTCTGCAAAATGTTAGTGATAGACGGAGGAAAAGGTCTTATATAACAACTACGAAAAAATTCCGAGAACATTTCTGCTTTATCAAGATTTATACATATTTGCGCAGTGTTACTATCTAGCCGACTAGAATAATCAAAAAAACTCTTTCTAAATTTGTTTAAGTTGGACCAAAACTTCTTTGAATCTGAAAAATGCGATTTGATTTTAGAAAAATGTCGATATTCATCTTTACGTAACGCATTTAAAACTTTATTTCTCAATTTTCTATACTCAATAGTTTTTGACAAAGTTTGATGACGTTTTAACTTACAGAATTTTAAATTTTATTCTTTAATTAATTTTTTCGTGTCCTTTGAAGGCCGAAAAACTGTCTTATTCTTAAAAGACACCCGTTTCAAAGGCACACAACTTTCATTGTTGTTCTGTGTAGGCCCATTAGACCGAAAAGTGAACATTTTCCGATAAAATGTAAAAATTTTTCGTACAGTTGATTAAAACCTTTTTTTACACTGTATAAGCATCGATAAAACTACATCAGTTGATAGAAGAGAGCACGAGCTACATTTTGGTAAGAAAATAATTTTGAAAAGCTTTTTCATTAGGGTGAAAACGCGACTTTAAGCCAAAAGTGCCATACTCTTCAGTGTGGCTCCTGAATCTTAGGAATGAGTGGGTGAAAAAAAATTCTGATTAAGTCATTCGAAAGAGCGTCGAAAATTGAGTAAGATCAATATAATGTGAAAGTTAAGTGAAAGAATTTGTCACTCGAAATCGCACATAACTTTTTTTTTCCATCTAAAAATAACGCCTGGAGGTGTTTCATTCACTAAACATCTGACGGGGGGAACAAAGGCATTTTTGCTGACTTCGAATGACACATCACTAAACGCAGTTTTGGACGCTGAGCACGCATATAATGTTAGTTTTTGATGAATGGAAAGTCGATTTTAATGTTCACAAACCCGTTTTTCCCTCTGAACTTAAAAGGTCTAAATTTCCCTTTTCATACCCCTATACAGTAACTACTGCCGCAAAGATATTCAAAAAATGTTTACCATCCCGTGGAGAAAAGATACTTCAAAAGTAGCCCTAAGATTCAAAACATTAAAAGATGGGTCAAATTCTTTCACTTAACTTTCACATTATATTGATCTTACTAAATTTTCGACGCTCTTTCGAATGACTTAAATCAGAATTTTTTTTCACCCACTCATTCCTTAGATTCAGGAGCCACACTGAAGAGTATGGCACTTTTGGCTTAAAGTCGCGTTTTCACCCTAATGAAAAAGCTTTTCAAAATTATTTTCTTACCAAAATGTAGCTCGTGCTCTCTTCTATCAATTGATGTAGTTTTGTCGGTGCTTATACAGTGTAAAAAAAAGGTTTTAATCAACTATACGGAAAATTTTTACCGATCGGAAAATGTTCACTTTTCGGTCTAATGAGTGCCGAATTTTTTACCTATAAACAGACTAGAGAGAGCGGATTTAGTGCAAACCGCTTGTCGAAAGCTTTTTTCATTACCGGGTTATGACCAAAAGAAAAAGAGGATAGGAGTGTACTGAAAATCTTTTGCTGCCACTGTAGTTATTATCAATTACTTTATTATCATAAAAAAATGTCCTTTATTCAACAGATAAAAAACAAAAGAGACGAAAGGTTTGTTGCACAATATCTCAAATTACGTATTCAATGCTTTTTCTATTCTATTGTTCAGGAACTTTTGAATAATAAACTTTCGTAGCGCAAAACTAATTTAAAAAAAATTCAAAAGCTCGAGAGCTAGAAAACGAAAATGAGAAATGTTAACAAATGTTTATTATAATTTGAATAATCTTATTAATACCGGTAATGATGGAAATGGAGAAACAAACGTATAACAACAACGTTCAAGATTAGTAAAACAATACATTGTTGATATTGAAAAACAACATAATACCTAGAAATGTTGCTGTCGATTTTATAAAATTCAAATATTTTGTCTCATTTTTTTCAGAAGAAAAAAAAATTTCGATTCTGATTTTACTTCAGAATGTTCTGTGGTAAAATTGAAATACAAAATGTGAGTTTTGAGTATGTTTACTTTGTATTATTCAGCTTAAACAAGAAGGTTAATTGCATCGACAAGTACATAAACAGTACGTGGTCTGTTGTTTTGGTTGTCTGGTCTTTTTAGAGGACGAAGACTGATTGAGATTTTTAGTATGTGCGTTGTGAAATTTAATTTAAATATGGAATAGTAATACTTCTCAACACCTTCTGTTTAAGCAATATGTATAGATTCCCATTTTATTTGCTCTTCAGAATTTAGTATCTCAACGTAATCAGTTATTCAATGCATTATATGATCGATCAGTTACAGTATGAAATTTAGATGAAATGACATATATTGAAATCTTGTAGGTAAATTTAGATGTCCAAAACCAGAGTTAACATTATATTATTGTTTGCATTAGATTCGGTCGTCAAGAATCGATTCCAGTATTCATGCATTGATGTGTGAGAGATGTTTAATTGCTGATGTGAGAACAGATATTCTCGATTTATCATTTCTTGAAGAATATTGAATAACAGCATTACATTATACAGTTCTAGCTACTAGTGGCTCGTTTAACGGGACAATAAAACTTTGAAAATTAGAATTCAATTATATGTCCATAGTGTTTACTTTGCCGTAGGTAAAGATCATTTATCCTGAATACTCGTTATATGTTAATATCGTTTTCTTTAGAAGGGTTTCATTAACGATTTAAAATTCTCAAATGATGGTCAATACTTATTTGTTGCCGTTGGTCGAGTACATCGATTAAAAAAATAATGGAGTGTGAAACAAGCAAAAAGTTCCGTTGTTACATGTAAACTAATCTCAGCCGCCGTCGAATCTAATGGTTTTCTTGTGGTTATTTATTTTCTGTTTGTTGTTCTTCAACAGTGAATTACAAGAAAGAAAATATTCTTCAGAGTACAGAAAATGACCTCGTTTTTTAAACTTTTTTTCCCCAGTGCCATTACAAATAATATTGTGTTGTTATTAAAAATAAATGTTGTTTTGATTACAAGGCCTGTTAACTTGAACTATTCCGATTATAATGGGTTGCCCTCTTGTTGGATAGTCGAGATAGCTACTGTAATTGTTATCTCTTTTGTTTATTGAATAAAGCTTACAACAAAGGCTTGTTACTATAGTTCCTTTTTTATATATGAATAATTGGCTCGTGAGACACAGTGGGCATTTTTAGTATACCAGACGGCCATTGTTTTTCTTTTCTTTTTCCCTAGGGGGAAAAGGCGGCTTCGGGAGTTTTCCGGAGCCCATGAAATGCTTTCCGGAGCTTGAGATGCTTGGCATCGGATGCTCTCCGATGCTATGCGATGCTGACTCCGATGCTGAGCGATGCTAAGAAAGAAAAAGTCGTCTTTTCTCCCTTGCTTTTTCCGCTTTTTCATGGATTATTATTGCCTTTCAAGATAATGCTCAGTATAGAAGGAGTTATTTCGAAAACATATTGAATGTAGTTTGACGAAAAAATGTCGTGCCGATCCCAGAGACGTCTTATTTTGTTCAGAAACGTTTGCTTTAAACGAAGAGTTTGCTTGCCAAAAGTTTTCCAATCAAATTTGGGATCTTGATTTTCTAGGGTGTGGATTTTTCAGACATCCACGCTACAAAGAATTCTGATGGAATCTTTATACGCGTCGCATCAGATTCAAAACCTTTTCGCCTATTCAAATCTTTTTTCTACCTTGTTTTAGCTATTGTGCTCGATGAGAAAAATCAAAAACTAAGATTGGTGGTCAATTTTTGTATCCACTGTATAATCTTTTTTTGTCCGGAAATAAATATGCATTTTTATGCTAATATCATAGTTGTACAATAAATAGAAGAATATTTATGAAAACTATGAGCCTGCTTGAAGAAATTTAGGGGACTTTACAAAACTTATTAGAGTAAAAAAGTTGTTTTTTTACGACAAAAGACAGCTAACATATCGGACTATATGATCCACCAATAAAAATAGAAAAACGACAACCTTCACGTTTTTGATAAATGTCTACCGAGATGGTTGCTATGTGGAATTTATAGGGTATCTATTATTTAAAATTAGACGATAAGCGTTATTTTGCGTGCTAAAAACATTTTAAAATTTAAAAACATTTTTTGGAATCATGACGTGAGGTTATTTGATATTATCTAAGCTTGTGGTCAACTTAAAAATAAAGTTTTGTTTCTATGGGATAATCTACGCAGTACTCTACATAAACATTTGTCTTTTAAGTTAGATTGACACACGAACTAAAATAGTTTGATATGATAAAATTAAATGAAAAGATCTTTTCATTTTGGTATAGTATTCCTATTTCTTTATGTTTATAATATAATACGACCAAATATCACAAATGGTATTACAAATGATTGCAAATAATTTCTCGTCCAATTCCTCTTAAAATTAATGCTCGAAATTCATCATAATTCATATTACCATCAAAATTTTGATCAACCTTTCTCACATAAGTTTTTAATGCATCTGATGTTGCATTTCCATTTAAAATTGGTAAAAAATTAGCTAATTCGTCAAGATGAATTGAGCCGGAGTGATCACGATCTAAAATACGGAATGCTCGTTCCAATTCATTTGATCCATAATGACCCATAATAAATGGTCGTAAAACTTCAACAAATTGATCAAACGGTAATGCATTTGGAACATCTTTTGCTATTTTCTGATATTCTTTACGTGTAATGGTAGCATCGTATGTTCGATTACGTTGTTCCTGTTTTCTCGTTAAACCAAACTGAACACTTTCAACGGTAGTTTCTACAAATTGATAATCAATTTGAAGTATTTGATCAGGAGTAGAAATAAGAGTTTCGGTAACAGTATATTCGAAATTCATATTAAATAGAAACTACCAAACTAGAAAATAAAATGAAATAAATATGTGAAAGGTTTCTTCATGATTCAAAATTGTATTAGAAAAATATTTCATTTATATCCATTAAATTCTTTTTATAGTTTTTCATTAAGTAAAATTATCTTGTATATTTTAAATATAAACAATTATATTTTCGAAGAATAGAAAATTGTTATAATTAACTTAGAGAAGGCATTGCAACTTCAACCACAGATATTGCTTTAAACTAATTTCTATTATTTTAAGTGTAAATTGTTATTTTAAAAAAAAAAAAAAACGTTTTTTTTTCTGCGGTTTAGATGATGACACTAATAAAAATAACTTTACACAGTCTCAAAACTGAATTTAGACTGACATGTAAATGTTGCCCTCAGTCAATATGATTTATTTGTATTAAAGAAAAAAATTTGATTATCCAAAGTTATAAATAAATAACTTTTATTAAGAGATTTATCAGGATAAGTGTCTCATGAATGTCAACATTCAACGATTTTAGTGTGATAGTCACTGTATTTTATTTTCTATAGAACTATTTTTTTACCAGAGTCAGACGTTCTGAATATAAGCGAAAGTTTTGTTCAGATAGTATTCTGTACGATACTTACTATAAAAAGCCTTTATAATTCTGTTAAAAAAATATGCTTGCGTATGTATAAGGTCTATATTTTTTTCTTTATAATTTCCTTCCTTTTAAATTTTTTCTCTCAGAAGATTGTAACTTACTGACTGTTCTGCTCTGTTTTATGATCATTAACTCATAAATAGTTTTTCTTCGTTAAGTAAATAAATTTAAAAGGAATAGGTAAATGTGAGAGAGAATAGAAATATCACTTTTTGTATCGTCAAAAGGTATATGATAATGCATATAAAATATTATACATGATCTATTTTCTTTTGGAAACAAATAGTATATCTTTCAAAGTTCTTTCCTTTTATTAGATACTGAATTCTGACATTTAATCTAAACATAGTTTATTTAACATGGAGAGTAATCGAATCGTTATAGAACCCACAATAAGTCACAATCCAAGGGCAAATACAAAATAGAAAATGCAAAAGACAGAGTAGTTTGTATAAAATAAAAAAATACATTTTATGAAAATATTTTATTTTACTAATAAAATTCCGGATGGCTCTACCCTAAACAAAATCCCATGCACTTCTTATTTAGTTTTACTAAAATCTTATATAGATAAGGAGGAAATAAGTAAGAACTGTACAAGATTTTGTCTAGGAGTGAATTATTGCATTTTTCTTATTAGAGTCCTATTCGAATCCTAACAGAATTCTAGCAAATCCTACGGCTTTCGGGTATCTCGGATGGGATTAGGATTCTATAGGACTAGGACTCCCACTTAAAAGTAAACGAATTCCAGAAAAGATCCTAATAGAATTTCTCTAAGCTCGTGTCAAGAAATGTATGGGTTTGTTGCTAAGGTATATATTCTAAATTTTTACTCGTGATCGGTTAATAAAAGGCTAGACAGCAGCAACGGATCAGAAGACATAGGACTGGATCTTAATGTAGGTTGCATATAGCATTTATTTCCTTAGTACACGGTAGTTTATGTGATCAAGAAGAAAATGTCTACAGGCTCTTTCTATTCGCCGTTGCACAAGTCACTAGCAATAAGGTATCTTTTAAAAAAATCTTCCATTAATAGATAGAAAATTCGTGGCAGATATGTTCACTGTGCTGTTATGAGATTAACATTAACATCAACATATCCTGAGCTAATTAATCTATGCAAATTTTTGTTTGTTCGCTTTAAAATTTCAATGTAAAATTGTTTCTATATCATCGACTCAAGTACTTACTGTTTAGAAGTTCTCGATAAAAGTTTTCTGTTTTTAACTGATGCAAGTTAGAAAAATTATGGTTTTATTTTTTATTATATCGTCAAATATTTGCATTAACATTGCTTACGTTTATAACCGACCAATGATGTTGGTCAATATAACATGGATATATTTACTTTGTTTTATTCAGCTTCAACAAGCAGGCAAATTGCATCGACAAGTGCATCAACAGTATGTGGTTTGTTCTTTTCGTTGTAGATATGTTGTTGTCGATTTTATAAAATTCAAATATTTTGTCTCATTTTTTTCAGAAGAAAAAAAAAAATTTCGATTCTTATTTTATTTCAGAATGTTCTGTGGTAAAAATTCAAATACAAAATGTGAGTTTTGAGTATGTTTACTTTGTATTATTCAGCTTAAACAAGCAGCCAAATTGCACCGATAAGTGCATCAACAGTATGTGGTTTATTCTTTTCGCTGTAGAAATGTTGTTGTCGATTTTATAAGTCGATCAACTTTGCCCATCATTTATATACAATTAATCGGTAGCAACAATTTTTTTTCACGAAAAAAAATGATTTTTCATTAAAAACATCATTTTATATATGAGGACTAATGTAGAGCCTGTTTTGACTTTATCTACGACCAACAGGTTTTGATCTTTTATAAATCTAGTCGGGACTTAAAAATTTGAATGTAAAATCGTTTCTATGTCGTAAACTCAAGTGCTTACTTTTTAGAAATTCTCGATAAAAGTTTTTTCTGTTTTGAATGACAGCCAGAAAAATTATGGTTTTCTCTTTTATTACATCGTCAAATATTTGCATTAACATTGCTTACGTTTATAACCGACTAATGCTATTTGTCGATATAATATAGATATATATTTCTTCACAGAAAAATTTGAAATAACAACAAGAAAGGGTTCTTTTTATACATCTAGAATAACTAATTTGATTTCAATGCCTTTTTCTTTAAATATCCAAGAATATACTTGAAGTGTTATGATCGATGATGATCTGATAAATACTAAACAGAAACAGGTTGTTAGAAGAACCAAACAGAATATAATGTCAAAAAACGGATAAGTTATATGCACAAATAAAGAACAAAACTGAATCTTGACACAAAATGTTTTTTGTAACTGAATGCCGATTTGTTATACCAAATCACAAATAATAATTAGTGTTGACTACAGAAAAACGATTTAATCTAGTGTAGGCGACAAACTTATGTATAAACAATTTACTGATTTAAATACGTAAACTTTTTTTGATATGTCTCTCTTTAAACAAGCATAGGTCTGCTGTTACTATTAAAGTAAATTGACAGGTTCACAGTGGGCAATTTTGCCTAGGCATGTGGACATTGGATTTTAAAGCGCTGGAAAGATCTCTCAGATATGTTTTTGTAGGTTTTCGAGTGTGCTCTTTCTAATGGAGTCACTGACAAAGTTCAAA